TATTTTAGAAATTGAAAAAATTATTCCACTCGCCTATTTCATTTTTGTGTATGGTTCCATGCCTGTTAGCAAGCAGTGTATATCACTGAAGATGACTCCACTTGGTCATAGTGTGTACTTTCAGTATACAGGGTGTTCCTTAATGATATGCTAATATTCAAAGCGCCGATTCTTCGACCCATTTCAAGAATAAAAAAAGAATAAAATTTCATATGAACATATGTCGTAATCGTCCTAACTTTTGAGATACAGGGTGTCAATGTTAAAAATATGCATAGATTATTTTTTGTCCACCCTGTATAGCTTTTCGTGATGGCAAAATTGAGTCTGCTATGTGACTGAATCGGTATACAAATTTCAAAATGTTACATACGGTGGTTATCCAGTAATGGATGTCCTGAATGGAGTACCTTAACATCAAAATTTGAAGTCTAGTTTCGTTTTTCCGTTTTTTCTCGAAAACGAAGCGTTCTATCGAGTATCAACGAGAGGATAATTTTTGTACAGGGTGATTCACCATAAATGTCTCCCCTCTAGCTCAGTTATTTTTGAACCGATTTTAAAATTTGAAATATCATCTTGAATGATTTTCGATAAAGTTTTTTTCTGCTAGATCAGAAAATACAGGGTGCTCGGAACAAACGATCTACAGGGTACTATTTGATTTTTTTAAATGAAACACCCTATTTTTCATTGTATTTTTAGATTCTCCATGAAGATCTGATTTGATTAATGTATCACACTTGGGGTCTAGCGGGACTGATTACAGAGATATAGGGTGTTCAAAATCGAGATTTTTAACTTGAGGATTTTTTTGTGACGAAACTATTCATTATCGGTCACGCGGTTTCCATGTCCGTATCTTAACTTTTGATTTACTATCTACTGACATTTAATAATTGGAACAGATACAGGGTGACCAGAATTCTGAATCTTGAACCACCCTGTATATGTTCCAATTAAATTCCACTAGATAGTAAATCAAAAGTTGAGATGGGAACATAGAAGCCGTTTCGACCAATAATGAATAGTTTCGGCACAAAAAAATCCTAAAGTGGGAAAATCTCGATTTTAAACACCCTATATCTCTGTAATCATTCCCGCTAAACCCCAAGTGTGATACATTGATGAAATCAGCTCTTCGGGAAGAATCTAAAAATACAATAAAATACAGGGTGTTCCATTTTAAAAAATCAATTAGTACTCTGTAGATCGTTTGTTCCGAACACCCTGTATTTTCTGATGCAACGGGAAAAAAATTTCTGAAAAATCATTTCAGATCATCTTTCAAATTTTCAAAACGGTTCAATAATAAGTGAGCTAGAGGGGGGGACATTCATGGTGAATCACCCTGTACATAATTAAATAGCCTTTTATAGCATTTTATGAAATTAAACAGGCTGAAAATATAATTTTGGCAAAATCTATATATGGTATTCATTTTTCAACTTTTGTGCATAATTCGAGGCGTAGCTACATGATCAAAGTGTTATCATTATTTTTTGAAATAGTGAAAATGTAACGAGCACTCGAAAATATCTAATTAAAAATAATTATTCTATGGAATGAAAACTATCGAGAGTTTACCTAATTTGACTCTAATGAAGTTGAACTTTGAGGACTGATTTTTTTTTGTGATAAAATTGGATTTAGAGATAGGAGTACTACAAAAATACTTAAAAAAAAAATAATGATGAAAAAAAAAGTCAAATTGGTTGCACACTCTTGAAAAGTAGGCCAATTCATTAAGTTTTCCTGTTCTTTGCAGATATTGAAACATATCTACAAAATGCTGATATACAGAGTGTTGTTTTTGAATAAGAAGAAGTTTACTGTTTTCCTTGAAGATTCCAAATTCGATTCCTATTCAGTTTTGATGAGTAATATAAGTTGAATATACCTATCGAGTATAAATCGATTATATACCATGGATTAAAATTCATGAGCTGACCAGATAAAGATATTGCCAAAATCAAGATTACGTTCTGTATCACAGTTATAAAAGATGGTAGACACATCGATGTATGTACATGTAAATCTGAAACACCCTGTATGGCCAAAAAATATGTTTTCATGAAATAATTTCAAATCGTCTTATTTTCTTCTGGTTTCCTCTTTCCGTATTATTTTCTTCTGAAAAAATACCGTTCTGAACGGAAAGTACGAGAATCATGACAAAGTATATCTTCATCGGAAAATATTCAACAAACGGTACCTTTGAGATTTTGAAAACATATAAGGTAATGAAGTTAAAAGTAAAGATGGAAATATAAGGAAAACTTGAGAGAGTTTCTCTTTACTCACCAGCGTGAAAAATGCGAAGCTTTGATCAAACAACACGAAACACCAGAACAGCACACGATCGCGATAATGTAATCACTGAATTGAATGAGGAACACAAAAACACAACACTTGCACTTATTTTTAAATGAACACTCCGTTTATAAAACGATAAATAATTTCGTTCGCGTATTTTTCGATGTCGATCACAAAATTCGGCCGTACGTGATGACATCTAATATAAGACTGTCTTGATTTACCACCTAGTCCCGAATGAATGACTGATAAGTTGAATCATGCTGATAAACGATTAATTTCCGAACAAAAGATTTATCTATGACTAATGATGATAATAAAGTTGAACGGGTAGGGGGGGGGGTAGATATTTTGTATACAGGTGGTATTTTTTTGTTCGAAAATCATTCATGATATGGAAGAATTTTACACAGGCTGAAAATATATTTTTCCAAAAATCTCTCGTGATTATGGAAGAACTTAACATACAATATGGAAGAATTTTACACAGGCTGAAAATATATTTTTCCAAAAATTTCTCGTGATTATGGAAGAACTTAACATACAATATGTAGTGAAAAGATTGAACCCTTTCCATTATCAAGAAATAATTTACCACAGTGAAATACAGGCAAACAGTTTTTGTTTTAAAAATATTGGTCACACGTAGTGAAAATAAATCAAAGGAGTAGCTACTTTGAGATTTCTAGATGTATCGGCTCAAAATACCTATCAGATTATACTATCACTCATAATAAAAAAATTAAAAATGACCTGACCATAGATGAAGATTTTGCCAAAATCAAGATTACGTTCTGTATTACAGTTATTAAAGATGGTAGAAAGCGCGAAAATCAGAAGAAAGCATTTCTTGATAGGAAAAAATACAGTTTCGAACAGAAAGCACGAAAATTTTTTTCATCATCAAATCAGAAGAGAGTATTCCTCGATCGGAAAAAATACAAAAAACGATACGAAACATACAGGGTATGTCATGACAAGCTCACACTATGTCTATATCGAGAATCAGTCGAGAGAAAAACATGAAAATATGCATGCTTATATTTTAGATTACGCTCTCTTCATTTAAAATATTTTCAGCAATGCAGCGTTGCCGCTTCTATCAAAAAGTAGGAACAACTTTGTTATTTCAAATAAAACACCCTTTATTTTATTGCATTTTTAAATTTTCCCTGAAGAGCTGATTTCATCGATACATCACACTTGGGGTCTATCGGAAATGATTACAGAGATATGGGGTGTTCAAAATCGATATTTTTCAACTTTAGGATTTTTTTGTGTCGAAACTATTCATTATTGGTCAAAACGGCTTTCATGTCCCTATCTCAACTTTTAATTTACTATCTATTGGTATTTAATGGGGACAGATACAGGGTGATCAGATATCTGAATCTTGAACCACCCTGTATTTGTTTCAATTAAATGTCGGTTGATAGAAAATCAAAAGTTGACGTAGGGACATTTGAGCCGTTTTGACCAATAAAGAATAGTTTCGACACAAAAGAATCCTCAAGTTGAAACATCTCTATTTTGAACACCCTATATCTCAGTAATCATTCTTGCTAGACCCTAAGTGTGATAGATCGATGAAATCAGCTTTTCAGGGAGAATCTGAAAATTCAATAAAATACAGGGTGTTCTATTTAAAATAAGAAAGTTAATAATAATTCCGGAATAACTGGAAAAGTGGCAACATCGACGATAACATTTTCAAATCCACCACGTTTTGAAATCACCCTGTACATATATTGAAAAAAATCTAACAAACGGTTACCGAGATATGCACCTGGTTCCATACTTTTGCCCAACCCTGTACATATGTGATCATTGTTGCAGCCTTCGATATACAGGGTGATCCACGGTGGATGGCCTATTAGAAGTATCTGGAGAACGAAAAGACAGAACATTCTGAAAATTGGGATGCTTCGATAATTGAACATTATCTATCCGTCTAAAATATTTTCATCGATACAGTATTGGCACTTATGTCAGAAACAACTAGCAACTTTGTTATTTCAAAAGAAACACCCTGTATTTTATTGCATTTTCAGATTCTTCCTGAAGAGCTGATACTATCAATCTATCACACTTGAGGTCTAGCAGGAATGATTACAGAGATATAGGGTGTTCAAAATCGAGATTTTTTCTCTTTAGGATTTTTTTGTATCGAAACTATTCATTATCGATCAAAATGGCTAACATGTCCCTATCTTAACTTTTGATTCACTATCTACTGGAATTTAATTGGAAAAAATACAGGGTGCTTCAAGATTCAGAATTCTGATCACCCTGTATCTGTTCCAATTAAATGTCAGTAGATAGTAATTCGAAAGGCAGGATAGGGACATGATCGATGAATTTCGACACAAAAAAATACTAAAATTGAAAAATCTCGAGTTTTGAACACTCTATATCTCTGTAATCATTTGTGCTAGACCCCAAGTGTGATACATTGATGGAATCAGCTCTTCAGGAAGAATCTGAAAATGCAATAAAACACAGGGTGCTATTAGAAATAACTAAGTTGCTAGTTGTTTCTGATAGAAGTGGCAACACTGTATCGATGAAAATATTTTAGACGGATAGAGAATGATCAATTATCAAAGCATCCCGTCTTTTCGTTCTCCCAGATACTTCTAATGGGCCATCCATCGTGGATCACCCTGTATACTATGTTCTTTTAGTTGGTGGTGGACGGTTCCAAGCAACTCGACTGGGTTCCCGAGAACCAAAAAGCGAAGTCTGAAGCAGAGAAGATCTACGCTACGTTGAGGGAATGCAGGGATCAGGCCGGATTGAAGAAGATGCGAGGCATCAAACACCAAGGCTATCTGCATAGGAAGTCTGACAAGGCCGCGAAAAAATGGAAGCTCTTGTATTTCGTTCTGTTGGTCGACGGCACCGACACTCATTTATACCTGTACGAGAATCCGAAAAGAACGAAACCCAAAGGACTGATCGATCTTTCTTGTGCTTATCTCTATCAGGTAAGGTCATTGTCTTAGTCATCGTATTAATCATAGTCTTAACCAAGGTGGATAGAATATAATGGTGAAAAATATACAAACTTACATGTGTAACAGGAAATCACTATACAATAATACCTTATACTGGTTTTGAATGAACTATGAGAGCACTAAGAGATCAGCAAGAGAACAGAGAGCTTGAAGAGCAAATCGAGCAGGTAGTGTAGAGTCTAGTAGAGCTTGGAGGAGAGAGTGATCCCTCAGCTGTCTTCAGTATTTATATTCCCCCCTTGACCTGGATACAAGGACAGCTCGATCCTAGGTTCTTATTGGTCGGAATCCTCAACTATGGCTGCAGGAACTATCATCCAAAAGCACATGGTCTTAAACTCACAAAAATGCGGAAAAATGATATTTAACCCTAAATGGGCACAGGAACAAAATCTACTACCCTTGCTTATGCTACTGAATGAATTTGACTGGAAAATATCCGATAACAAAAAAGTTATGACTAGGTAAACATCCTTCATTTCAACTGAGAAGTAATTCAATCAAATTTCATATCATAAGCAAAGGGTTGAAAAATATTGAAGTCTTTAGGGTTGTAATGATGTTTCTCAGAGTTTACTATCAGGAAAAGCTTCGGAAAGGCAATGAATTACTCAGCTCTCCCAGCTTTTCAGGTTCCGCGCTTTCGAACAAGTGAAATTCAAGTTGAATCAGTCTCAGCTTACTTAGATATTACTCAAAACTAGAGTCACTGGATGTTATTAGTTTGATTAGAGTCACTGGATTGTATTAGTTTGATAAGAGTTCGGACACAGCTGAACTTTTGTCCTTTTCTATTTTCTATAATACAATGGTTTAAGTGAATAAAAGAATAAGACATATATTCTGCTCTTAGTCTTTTCAATTTCCCTAGTAGCGCCTGATTGTCAGATACAATTTTAGAGGTTATATCTTCTGTCAAATCAATCATAGCCGTAGATGGACAATGGATATAGGGTACAAACACCCACTTCAATTCATAGTGATACACTTCTAGCAGAGCAACTATTATATAAACGAAAAGAATGCATGTAACAACATTTTAATATCAGAGAATATATTCCAGGGTTGGAATAAGTCATGACTTCTATAAAAAAGTCAAAAAAGTACGACTTTTTGAATTAATTCGGACTTTTTTGAATTAATTCATTTGAGGACAAATCAAATTCTATTTACTTGAACAAAATACAAGAACACCGAACAAATCTAAGTTTTTATTTTCGTTAAAAATCTCAAAGCATAACAATAAAATACTTGCAATTTTTGCAATACCAACTGAGACTATTGATTGAATGAAAAATGATGGTTATGCAACTTATATTACTCATTCGCAATATCCATTATAAAGGCGTTTTACAGATATTTTCAAAAAAAAAAAATGCAGCTATTTCCATGGCGCGCTTACGGATTAGTATTACCTTGTAAAGCAATTTTTCGTTGCATTGAAAGAAATGAGTCCGGTAATTTGTATTACTGGTGCAATTCTAGTGGTGACATGTTAGATTTTCGGAATTTCATTCATCATTAGATGCACATTGGATTTTACTTTTCTTGCCTTTCTCATGGTTTCTTCTACCCAACTCTTGACAAAACTCAAAACTCGGTGAGAAGTAATATACAGAATCTATGACAAAAAGACATTGCAATGCAAGCCGGTAATTCCGATTCAGTGTTGAATAGCCTTCATATAATTTTTGCCGGAAATATGAATTGGAGCAATCAATTGCATGCAACGAAATATTGTAAACTGTAAAGCGGTTCTTAGAAAATTTCTCGGAAAATTTAGTTTTCTGCGTGTGGGTGCTTCCCGGCTGCATTTAAACATTCCGGTATAGGATTCGGCACCTGCTTAAATTCTATTGGCGGATTTTGATTTGTCTGACCAATTAAAGGCGAAGTGCCGAAATCCGTACCAGAATGTTGAGCGGTGCTGAAAAGCAGGTCGGAATGTTGCCCTGCATTTTGCGCGGTTTTTGTTTACATTTACCCTCGCATTTACCTAACCTGCGTATGTTTTGAGAATACCGTCGTTCCCACATGCTAACAACAAACCTGCAATCTTGTTATTATAGTTAAGTGCAATCATCAATTAGTAAAGTATACCATAAATCACTAATTATGGACAGATTGATAAAAGTTCCAGAAAATTTGTATAGGGGCAATATAATATGAAGAATGAAACAGAAGTTGTGCAATGGATGAATGATTATGAAGCTCAGTCGTTTACATCATGGCGTTTCAAATCAGGCCCTACAAATATTAAAAGATTCTTGTACAGGTAACAATTTTATGTTTTTCAAATATTTTTTTATTTGATGCTCATGAAATGTATTCGAAGAAGACGAAGACGCAGTTTGGCAGGTAACGTGGCGAGAAATCAACCAAACGCTAAGTCCCATGGAATAGGACATTAACAGACATTAGGTGTTCTAATGATTGTTATTTCGAATGTATTATCTCATTTTATCACATATAATCATTCATTCAAAACTTTTATACCAAATAATCATCATGAATATAAATGAAAATTTCAAAAGTTATTGAAGAATGCGTTCATTACACATTATCTCGAGCTTTCATTTCATCAACATTCCGACCTGTGTTTCAGCACCGCTCAACATTCTGGTACGAATTTCGGCACTCCGCCTTCAATTGGTCAGATGAATCAAAATCGGCCAATAGAACTTAAGCAGGTGCCGAATCATATACCGGAATGTTTAAATGCTTCCCGGCTGTCAGTTGTCAGATGCCATCGGTTATTCAATTTTAAACTAGTTCAAATAGAAGGTAATAATGAGATTTGTTCCCATTCGATAAATATTGAATTAATTCACGACTTATTTGAAAAAAGTCATTTGAATTAATTCACGAATTAAATCACTGAATTAATTCGTGCCAGCCCTGATATATTCATATGGATAATTATAGCAATAATTCCTTATTGTATGTGAAACTGTACTCCAGTGATATAAAACATGAAGTTATTACTATTGAATTAAAGGTAGGTATTCTCACTATACAGGAAGTAACATGAGTACGTTCAAGTGAAGTTTTCCCGAGACAATTTTAAGAAATAAAGTTTATATAAGCTTGTGTCAGGAAATGCTTCATTTCGGAGATACAGGGTGTTGAAATACAGAGAACAAATCATTTTTCTATAAAGATTTCATAGGAAAAAAGTAATTTATTTTGACGAGACCTACCAAATACTTGGTTTTGTGAAGTTCTCAGCAACTTCACGCCCTAGGAGCTAAGTAACATGGATCGATATAGAAAATACCTCCAAACCAATAACCTTCAGCGTAATTAAGGCCCTCATAATAATTCCCTTGATACATAAATATTCATTCACTTTTCACTGTTGAGTTTTGAATTCGGTCGGCGCCAAAAACGCCATTCAATAATATATCACGTTGTAGTTTACTTGCTTCTCTTAGTTTCGTTTTCAAATGTTCAATTTCATTATGTCATTTTGCGATCATTTTCCCTTTTTCCATGATTATTTTGTATTTTGTTTGATGATAATAATGAAATTTTGTTCTTGAAATCGTCTGCTTTGTTAATTGATGGAACAGCAGATTCTCTCAAACAGATTTTGAAATCTTCTGTTTGAAAATGGGCCTAAAATATAGATTCATTCTAATCAGATGCTGTTATAAGAAGTGAATTTCAATGAGTACCTCACAAATTTCGCTCGACTTCAAATTGATTTTCCACCCAGCCCGTTTCATATCTTCCTTCCATAAGTGAATGCTTGATATTTGATTTGGAAAATTGAATAAATTATATCATTTGTTTCAGAATTGGCACAATTCATTACACAGCAAGTGATTTCCATGGCTGTTTTTATCTCGGACGTATAATAATTATGAAATTTTATTTCAATTCTGACGTTTATTAAATTAATTGTCAAATTCAAACAATTTTGAATGAAAAAGAGCGGGACGACTATGGTGCTCTTGTCACAATGCAAGGTGTGTAACTTAATAAATCTAAACATTCAAAAACCCTAACCATTGTCATTTATGTGTCCGAACTCTTATCAAACTAATACCATCCAGTGACTCTAAGTTTGATAAGAGTTCGGACACAGAAATGACAAGGGTTAGGGTTTTAGATTTATTAAGTTACACACCTTACATTGTGACAAGAGCACCATAGTCGTCCCGCGCTTTTCCATTCAAAATTGTTTGAATTTGACAATACATTTTATAAACGTCAGAATTGAAATAACATTTCATGATCATACATTCGAGATGAAAGCAACTATGGGAATTACTTGCTGTGTAATAAATTGTGCCAATTCTGAAGAAAATGGATATCATTTATTCAATTTTCCGAAACAAATATCAACCATTCGCTTATGGAAGGAAGATATGAAATGGCCTGGGTGCAAAATCAATTTGAAGACGAGCGAAATTTGTGAGGTACTCATTAAAATTCACTTTTTATAACAGCATCTGATTAGAATGAAACTATATTTTAGGTCCATTTTCAAACAGAAGATTTCAAAATCTGTCTGTGAGAATCTGCTGTTCCATCAATTTACAAAGCAGGCGATTTCGAGAACAAAATTCCATTATTATCATCACACAAAATACGAAACAAAATAATCATGGAAAAGAGGAAATGATCGCAAAATTACATAATGAAATTGAAAATTTGAAAACGAAACTGAGAAAAGCAAGTAAACTACAAAGTGATATATTATTGAATGTCGTTTTTGGTGCCGACCAAATTTAAAATTTAACAGTGAAAAGTGAATAGTTATTTATGTATCAAGGGAATTATTATAAGGGCCTTAATCACGCTGGACGTCATCGTTTTGGAGTTATTTTCTATATCGTTCCATGTTACTTAGCTCCTAGGGCGCTAAGTGGCGTTGCTGAGAACTTTAGAAAACCAAGTATTTGGTAGGTCTCGTCAAAATAAACTACTTCTTTCCTATCAAATGTTTATCGAAAAATGATTTGTTCTCTGTATTTCAGCACCATGTATCTCCGAAATGAAGCATTTCCGGACACAAAAGCTTACATAGACTTTATTCCTCATAACTGTCTCAGGAATACTTCACTTGAAAGTGCCTATGTTACTTCCTGTATATATTGAGAATACCTACCTTTAATTTAATATAAATAACTTCATGTTACTTATCACTGGAGTACAGTTTCACATACAATAAGGAATTATAGCTATTAGTTTATACATATGTGTATATTTTCTAATATTAAAATGTTCTTACATGGATTCTTTTCATTTATAATTATAACAGTTGTTCTGCTAGAAGTGTATAAATTGGAGTGGGTGTTTGTACCCTATACCCATGGTCCATCTACGGCTATGATTGGTTTGACAGAAAATATAACCTCTGAAATCGTATCTGACAATCAGGCACTACTAGGGAAATTGAAAAGACAAAGAGCAGAATATATGTCTTATTCTTTTATTCACCTAAACCATTGTATTATAGAAAATAGAAAAGGACAAAAGTTCAGCTGTGTCCGAACTCCTACTCAAAACCAGTCTAGTAATGAAGCTGGTCAAAACCACTTCATTACAAGCGAACTTCGTTCCGTTCCAGGTGCACGACAGCCTGTGGGAGCGCTCGCACTGCCTGCAGCTGGTCGAGCGCGCGCTGCCCTGCCTAGCGACGGCCACCCATTTGGCCGCCCGCTCGGCCGACGACCGCCTCGAGTGGCTGGCCGCCCTCCGGCCGCTGTGCGCGCCGCAGCAGAGCCGCGCCACGGCGAAGGTGGCGCGCCTGCGCGAGATGCGCAACCTCACGCTGCACATAGTCGATGCGCATCGGCTGCCCTACAAGCTGGTGCCGCAGCCGTACGTCGGGATCCAGCTCAACAATCAGGTTAGAGGGGGTGTGGTGTGGGGTGTTATGCGAGCACTGAACCATTGTCGATCTGGATGGGAAAGCTAGTTTGCTAGTTAGTAGTAGAGTTCCTAAATGTACTCGACACTGCTGTTTTGACGTTTTTTGTATATTAGAGTACGGACACTATGACAAGCACTGACAATCAAACATAACCACAAACGATTTTTAAGCAAATCATATGTTATGCCAGATAAGGACAAGAATATGTTTTTCGCTTAGATCAGGGGTTTTTGTCGAAGAGGTTCTTCCAAATCAAGCTCCAAATCTGATGGAGCTGGAAACCCCTTGAATGGCGATGGGCTTTGGGAGCTGAGCCGCCTTTGCAGGAACGATGATGCCAGCGGTGGTCTGTGCTGACCGTTCTGAGATATATCCATATCTAAACGACAATATTAATACGCGATGATTGAAAGACCAGAATAATTACTCTCAAACACGACTTTTATTCAATCAAGTAACGACCGAGCCGATTAAAAAAAATCATAATGGAATAATTTTATACAATTCATTACCGAATTAATTGAAAAATATACATGATGTATGAATATTTAAAACCAATCTTAAACAATACCTGGTCAGGCCAATTTGATTGAAAAATATTTGACATGATTGAATTACTCAGAATTGATATGTTATAGCTTCCATATTAAGAAAAAGTATGAATTTGTTTCCATCGAGTGGAATTCATAAGTTAACCTTTTAATATTATTATTATTAATTTATATGTGTCTAAGTATCCCTATTGTAAACAGATATGTTTCTTGGGGTAATAAAAATAATCAAACAATAATAATGATCTTATGTAGAAGTCCATACTTTTCTCTGAGTGGAGTTTTTAATATTGTCTGTCCTTTGCAAAAAAACTCATTGTGACAGTTTCCTACAACATAGAGACATCTACATGAATTTAGTTGTTAATTTTTTATTCCTAACCTAAAAAATGTTCCTGTTCCTGTCAAGCATAGACTGTCAAGTTTATAAATGAAAATCCCTCATGTTGAAACTTGAGGTTGAAACATTATCGATAAAGATAGTTATCAAGTATGAAAATCATCGAATATACACGAATAGAGATCAAATACATGATCATCCAGCATGCAGTGCTAATGTTAATATGCACTGGATAGGTACCTCAACCGATTTTATTGCTGGCTTGTGTTCTTCGCGCATCCTCATGTGTATTGTCCTTTCATTTATCGTTCACAGATCAGTGACCACTTTGCATGCAGGGTGTGGAAAATTGAAATTTTTCAAAAAAAGAAAGAAAGTTCGTATTGTTTATAATACACAGGGATATACATTGTCATCCATAAAGTCAGTAACATATAGGAACAAAGTTTATTATTAGAATATCGAAAAAAAAAAAAAACTTGAGGAATCAGGGATCTATTATTCATGTAGATAGCCTGAAAAATCGATTTTGATACATGTTAAGTGATCACTGATATGTTGGTAAATTGGGAAAAATTACTATGGAGAGGCAAAAAGTGGAAATAGATGGCAAAGTACCGAAGAAATTTATTTGAAAGAGTTGCTCAGAATTCAATTTAAAACTTACTACAGTCTCTCAATGCGAATAATTCGTGGTGGTCACTCATAATGATTAAATTGAAAGTACCTAAAGGTGATTGAACAATTGCTTATTAAAGGTTCTATATTTCATTGAACATTCTCATCCTGGAAATTCTGCTAAGGTGCTTTATTCGTCTCTCTTTAACCGTCAAACGACATAGAAGAAACAGTTTTTTACAATAATCAGTGTCAATGGAATTCTGGAGAAAAATTTCAATTAATTCTTGACTAGGAAACAAGCACAACGTTGAGTAAGACTATTTTACTTTCAACAAACTCTTGGTCTACAACGAGCAATAAACTTGTTATAATAATTATTATTATTATTTTACCAGGTCAGAGTAGCGAGAACAAGGACGAAGGCGGGACCGGATCCAGTGTGGGATGAGGAGTTCGTTTTCGAGTATGTAATACAATATGACTGATTCTAACACGATTTTTTGATGTACTTCCTATAATGGGGAAGTTTCCTTCAGATGGATTTTCATAAAATAATTTCGGAAGTCTCCAGTTTCATGTCCACACTGTACAAAATGGCGACCGATAAAGCCCAAGTCATTTTCATTTTCAAATGGAAGCAATTTCTAATTTTCGGGCTGCAAACTGTGACATACATTCTGAATCTAACCTGAAAACAGCTGATGGTGAAGAATATAGCTAGCGAATATCTAAAGAATAGCTAACGACTGAAAAACGGTTGAAAAAAATAGAAGAAGAAGTAAAACTGGTGAACAAAAACATACATAACCACAAATGCACTAGAAGCAGGAATGCAGAAGGTAGTTTGCTTCATTCTGACAGGTTATAGTCATGTTATTTATGCATTGAAATATCTCGAATAGAACTCGATCCTAAACGAAAATATCATCGAAACAATGAATCACTATCGGTTACATTCAATATACTATCCTTCCTATTTTACTGCCATCGGTCAGAACAGAATGAAGCCGACACCTATGGCTCCTTCCTCTTGTTGTGCCTATCAGTATTTTAAGTGGTGTGGACGGACTCGAAGTATTAGGCGATGTTGCAAGATATAATCTGCAACTTTCCTAGAAAATAGATCCGTTTCATTAATCAAAAAATAACAGACAATATATGAATAACATATTGTAATATAACGATAGTGAAAAAGTATAGATACTATCGCGAAATATCATAATTTATCATTATTAGTAATCAACTTCATTCAGCCAATGAGAGATATTTGGGAATTATTCATAATTCTTGACAAAGTAGGATTGAAGAACCTATTAAATCTCATCGCTGCTATGATATAGTTATTATGCATTCAAAGAACAATTTCGGGAAATCTATACATATTGATGATGTGGGCAACGTCGTACTTTAACTCTGTGTGAACATAGATTTTCAGAAAGTAAGTCATAGGAATGGTGGAGGAGCCAAGTTCCTCTTTTATTAATTTTTTTCTGAAGTGAAATCTGATCTTACGAAAAAAAGGAAAAATACGTATATATTAATTTTTTACAAACTTCACAGTGAGATAAAAACCTCAAAATAGGAAACTTGCCCATCTTGTCGAGCATTTATCGATATTTCCTTATACGTTATTGTTGTGATTGACTTTCAGAAATTAAAATCTCATATGCTCAAATTCTAGCTCTTATGTCATTATATCGACGCTCCAAATTTCACAAACCTACTTCATACAATAACTGAGATATTCCGTAGGCAATACTTCCGTAGCCACCCGGTATATTATGAGATAGTTGATCAATGTTTGTCTGTGAAAAATGTAGAACCTTATGACCTATTAATTTTCGTTTCAGCGATGTGCCATGTGATATTGTGTCATTTACATTAACTGTACATAACAGAGGAAAGAGAGGAAAAGAACAAGAAGTAGCTGAGCTGCACGTAGAGTTATCGACGTTGGGTAACGGAGAAGAAAGAGAAGAATGGTACACTCTGTCTGGATTGACGCCGATGGGCGAATGGGGTTCGTTGAGATTGAGAACAAGGTGAAGTTCAGTTTTCGGGTTCATTCCTCATTGTCTGTCTTAATTAATCAATAATAATAATAATAGTTTTATTGCTTTGAAACAAAAAGTTGCAGCAAGGGTTTGGTTGCATACATAAAGTTTAGTTTACAGTGATCCTTAAAGCTATAAGTGTACCTATAATGCTATTGACAGGAGACATAACTTAGGTTATCGTTATTCACTCAAAATAAATGATCGACGTTTCAGAATATTATAAACGTAATTATAAATTATATCTTCTGGCGTTGACGCAAGTGATTATAAATCCGTTAGACAACCAACTTTTGGACACTCGAACATTATACAGTGTGTCCCACTTACCAAGCTCACCATGGGTATCTTTTAAACGGTGAGAGATACGAGGTCGGTTAAATGACACCAAATGTGGAGTTTGTCAAGGCCAACTATAATGTGGAAAAATATTTTGATAAAATCTATTCGTTTTTGTTTTATACACAAAAAACAGATTTTGATCATTTTCATGTCTCCTCCGTAACTTCTTTATTTATGAAAATATTCAAATAGGAATTTCACATTCTCATGGCAGTTTTTCAAAGTGATTTCGAAAAAAATATGAAATTTATACCAACTCTTTTAGAATTTGAGATAGCAGCACCAACTTCAGTTTTTCAAATGTAGCTCATAGCTCACTATGACTTAGTTACAAATAACTTTTTTTTCTCTTACAGATGATATGTCGCAGTTATAGTTTTGTGTTGATAACAACGGAGTTATCGTCATTTATACAAAACAAAAAATTATTTGGAAGCCGCCATCTTGAATTTATAAATTTAAACAAAAATATCATGATCTCCGACCTCAAAAACCCACACTTACCAATTTTTAATGGAATCGGACCAAATCTTGTCCGCCATCTTGGAGCAGCCATTTTTTTTAATTTCAACAAAAATTCCATACCTCCGATTAACTTGATATTTGGCAGGTGTTCATAATTTCGGTGACAATACATTATGGAATTTTTGTTGAAATAATTTAATAAAACGTAGGTGATGTTCATTTCATTTCAACTTTAACTGCTTGATGGTGATAAGATTGAGTGACAGTTGTGGGGTGGTAAGATTACTGTAGTACAGGTATATCCGTACTCAATTCTATTCAACTGTGAATAGCCAGAATCGGATTGGGAATTATTAGTTGAATAATTATTTTAATTTCAAATTCCGTATCAAGTTGATAACAATAGAAGAAATAACACAACACACGTCAAAGATGAACACATCCAAAATAAGGCAATTGTCAGGCCAATTTCGAGTCCCTCTCTGTTAATCTACCTGGTTTTGAAAAGAAGTACCTCTAATCGGCCATCCTTCTCTGGTATAATCAATTCCTCCGTAACGGTAATCGTAGCCTGAGTAGGGGACGCACCTGAGAGTATGTTATAGTAGATTGTTTTATTAGGATCAAAAGTGACACTTTGTTTGACAAGCGAATTTTGCATTTGCGAGGCGGAGCGTTTAGCGAAGCCGAGCGAAAGCAAAATTTGCGAGTCGAACAAAGTCACTTTTGATCCAAATGGAACATGCTATTTTTTCTGCAACCGAAACAATTAACTCAAATAAACATGTGAAGTGACCACCAATGCCGTGCCATATGTATGCAATGCAACAAATATTGACAAATAATCCATGTGGTGAGAATATTCTACCTGCATAGAGTGACATATTTGTGTATGGACCAGGTGCTCTAATGGCCAATACCGCGCCAGTGCCAGCAATAGGAACAAGACGTGAAAAATGTTAGGTTAGTGAGCATATCAACAATGATAATAGTGATTATTTATTCCTCTCCATACTACACTGTGTTTGACTTGATAATCAAATGGAGCTAAACAATATCGTTGTTTGAGACAAAAAAACTATTGCTTGCCGTGATTATTCAAAAACAAGTTATCCATCCCGAGAATAACGAATGAAATACAGATCAAGCAAGTATTTGAATCTTGAAGGCTTCCCTGATCAAAACAAAAATACTTAACTGAGATGTTTATAATTCCAATACTGAACTATAATAAGGTGTATTTATATCTCCAGCATGGTTATGAAATGCCAAATCTGCTGAAATCGGAAACAAATCAGGTATGCGTCTCAACCCAAATAACCAACAGTCACAATGTTGTTTATTCTTGATGACGTCCAGTACATCCTTTTTAGTTCCTAGGAGCTAAAGTTCAACTTAAGCTCCTAGGAACTAAAATTCAACTTTAGCTCCTAGGAACTAAATATGTTGCCTAGCAACATACCGATTTTTGTGTCAGTAATAGAAACGTCAATTTAAGAGCTAATTTTGGTATCAAAACGGACGACTTTTGTGTCGGTTGCAGAAAAAATATATTTCAAACAAGTTGAAATCGTTCGGACGTATATGTCGTGTGTCACCAACGTTTAATGACGGATTTCGCCTTCTGAAAATGTCCCGACTTTAGTAATATTATCAATACATAATTGCTAAATTTATGGATTATTGAATAACTAATATTTCTGAAGTTCCCAATCGTATTGCAACATATGGCAACTGTGCTGTTTTCACTCGCGGTAAATCTCTAGCCGTTTGAAAAATACCGTGGCATTATTGATGATTTTGACACCTTAAAATCGACCGAAAAATTCTGAAAAAGAATGAAATTGGAAGGTATTAGAGTGATGATTCTAATAAAGAAATTAAAAAAAAAATTCCAGTTCAGTAGCCTATTTTTTTTTCAGGTATCTACACGACTTGGTGATGCCTGGCGAGGAGTACAGTCCCCTTCAACAATTGCTGTTGGAGCCAGGATTGACGGCCGTGAAAACTTTGGCGGAGATATGTCATTCTGACAGGGCCCCGCTAGCCACCGCTCTACTCAGAATATTCCGAGCGGAGGGAAGAGAAACGGAACTTCTGAGAGAACTGAACACCGCAGAGGTATCGTACCACATTTTTTCAGAATGGAATCTCGTTCAGGCGAAGCTTTGTGATTCTGAGAACTGTAATCTGAAATAGTAATTTCCCTAACAAGTGTGGAAAGTGATACTTTCCCACAATATTTTTTCTACAAATTCAAATTCAAATATTCTTTATTGTCAGAAGATTTTGCATCCCATTGACAAAGGTTTGTAGGTACATGTAAATATAAACATAACTAATAGTGTATAGATATGAACAGATAAGTAACAAAAAATTTTAGAATAAATCAAGTACAAATACAATAAAAGTAAAATAGATTACACATATTTTCAAAAGGATTCATTAAAATACTCTTGTAGGCTATAAAAGGGTCTATCAGCTAGCAAATTTCTCACTGCTTTCCTAAAATGCACATTGGTCAGATTTGCAGATCTTATATCTACTGGTAAGTGATTGAAAAGCTTTCCACCATTATAAAAAATGGGATCCTTGATTGATGTTGAGTTGGGTATGGGAAGTCTGATATTAAATATGCTATTACGAGTAGCATACGGAGAAGAAACAAAGTCAAACTCCGTTTTGTGTTTGTATACCAGGCATACAGTTTCAAGAATGAACAGTGCAACGACAGTTAAAATCTTATTGGCAGCAAAATAATTCCTGCATGAATCCCTTGGTTTGACCTTACAGAGACACCTTACAGCCCTTTTCTGTAATATCAACACAGAAGAGAGAAGGGTTGCACTGCATGTTCCCCAAAAAGGTATTCCATATCTTATTTGAGAGTCAATTAAAGCGTAGTAAGCCTTTTTTGCTGTGTGAAAACCCAACTCATTAGAAACCATTCTCACTGCATAACATCCGGATGAGATTTTACTCGTGAGTTGTCTAACGTGTTCATCAAATTTAAGCTTATTATCAATGTATACACCAAGAAATTTTGTGTTTGGTCTATTTTCCAAGATATCATTGCCTATTGAGAGTTCATTTAGCAGACATTTAAATGATATTATATTTGTTTTGGAGACATTCAAGGATAACAAATTAGCATCACACCAATTTTTTACCTTTTCTACATCTGATGATATCTTTTTATGTAGCTCTGCCGAGTTCTTTTCCTTCCACAAGCGTAGGAAATTGATTGATTTGTTCAATCAATTATTCTTGCAAATAGGAACAACTAACAATAGTGATATATTATCTATCTTCTAATGATTAGTGATATATATCTATTGTGTACCGTTTGAAGCATTATGTAGGTAAGCTTATTGTGGAAGCCAGCATGCCCATGGTGTTTGGCCTCTAGGTTTCAGACATTTCTAGAAAATGTGCCAAAAATACTTCTTCTTCATTTGGTGTTTTAACTTTTTCACCATTGCACCATTCAGTAAATCCCGTGTAGTGCTTTTCATACCTTTCTTAAGACTTTGTTGGCAATAACTCATCTGTATCGCATCTGTAGCTGAAAGTTTTTCATCGCAATTCTATTGAATCGAAAATGACAGTAACGCTCTGTCTGTCACTCTGAGAATTACACTAACTAATTTGTGTTTTGATTGATATGACAACAATTGTTTCCCACATCAGGTCAATTAAAGGCTATATAGGGGGATTTATATAACAATTATTATTTTTGCAATATTTCTTCATTTTCACAATAAATAGTGCAATTTGATGGATTTTGTACAAACTTACTAAATACTGCAACAACAAAAAAGCTAACATTTTCATATTGTGTCACCCACCACACATATTTTGCGAGAATATTATATAAATGTTTTTCCCGCACTACAGGATGTTTTCATTTGATTGCCAACGCCACCAATTGTCACTGAGAACTGAAAAGTGTCAGGACAAATACGAATTTGTTATTCAAATATCCATTTGTTGAAAACGGGAGTAAATTCGTCCCCGGAACGTCCAAAGATAAATTAAAATTTGATATTTTCCTATACACCTTCATTTCTCTTCTCCAAACCTTTTCAATACAAATTTTCACTGAAAAGCTAGTGAATTTTTTTTTAGGCTCTCTGATAGGAAAATTATCTTATTTACAACCATATATGTAATGTTGTCATTACTAACGTCGTTGAAGGTTGGGAAGTGTCATATTATATACCTCTACTTCCCGCCCTTACTTCACGTCCGCGATTTTACTAAATATACTGTACGCTAGCACAAACCACGCCCACCGTAATATCTCATCTTCGTACTAAGGCAAAACTCAGAGACTATTTATCCTTAACGAACTAACCTATCCCTGATTGCAATATTTTTGAGGAAGGAAAACCGAATGGAGTGTAGAATCACATTGATTAATAATATATTTCAAAAGTTGAGTTCTTCAACAAAATTGAATAAAATGAGACTGTTTATCCTAAACGCACTAACCTATTTGACTTCAAATATTTTATGAAAAAGGAAAACCAGAATGAAGTAAAAAAACATTGGTGAAGAAGAAGATGATTGTAAATAAAATACATTTCTAGAACGCTTTGCGTCTTGGTTAACTAACTAATCTCACGCCAGGAATGAATCACTTCCCACCTCGGTGTGTAATATACTATAAACGCAGTATATTGAAATAATATTCATATCTTTATTTTATAGTGTTTGGGATCGCACGTTAAAAGGTAAGACGCCCGTCATTCCTTGCTCGCACAAGTCTCTTGAAGACTTCTGAGGGTTGCTCGTAAGGGGGCAACCGAATGATGGATAAGAACAAACACAATTTAGAACAAAAATGTTGGAAGACGATCCCAAAAATCTGTAATAATGAATGTACCACCTCCTCGATTAACCTGCAGACAGTATTTAACCAATATTGATATTTCCAGATTATTAGAGAGACTGAGACTTCAACGCTGTTCAGGGCAGCTTCGCTGGCCACCACATTAATGGATCTCTACATGAAAGCGGAGTGCGGCGGTTTTTTGCAGGCAGCCGTACTGGAAACCGTGCTCAGATTGCTGGAGAGCAAGCAGAGCGCTGAACTCAACCCCGCGAAAATGGACTCTTTGGACGACGCTTGCAACAACGCAGAATTTTTATTACAAATATTGGATCAGGTAGGACCTCAGAGTAACTAGTTAATATGAGTGATCTATTTTGCCAATTTCTTATGCGCAAAAGACATCCAATTCTGACTAACTCTGTGGAACCGTTGCCAAATCGACAATACAAAAGGTTGTAACGAGACTCTTCAATTCAGGAGAAATCGGGGCGTGGTGGTCTCAGAAGTCAGAAGAACATCAGATTAGGATAGTCCGTTTTATTGGTTCCTGCCGGCCACACGGCGTTAGTTTCGTGGTGTTGAGATATAATTTTTGAGCTAAAAGACAATGAAGATCTAGCCTAACTTATATACAGAATGGGCCATTGAAAACGAAACAGCGGCTCTGTAGGTCGGCAAAACCAGATTATGAAAAAAATCTGAAACATGTCAACTACATTTTCGAGGGGGGCATCGTTCTAAAATGTTCTCAGCCCTGCGGCGTTGCCGCTTCTAACGAAAAGATGCAACAACTTTGTTATTTTAAATGGAACACCTTGCATTTCATTGCATTTTAAGATTCTCCCGGAAGAGCTGATTTCATCAATGCATCACACTTGGGGTCTAGCTGGAATGATTTTAGGGATATAGGGTGTCAAAATCGAGGTTTTTCAACTTTAAGATTTTTTTGTGTCGAAACTATTCATTATTGGTCAAACCGGCTTTTATGTCCCTATATCAACTTTTGATTTACTATCTACTGACATTTCATTGTAACAGATACAGGGTTGTCAGAAGTCTGAATCTTGAACCACCCTGTATTTGTTTCAAATAAATGTCAGTAGATAGTAAATCAAAAGTTGAGATAGGGACATGAAAGCCGTTTTGACCAATAATGGATAGTTTCGACACAAAAAAATCCTAAAGTTGAAGAATCTCGATTTTTAACACCCTATATCCCTGAAATCATTCCAGCTAGACCCGAAGTGTGATGCATTGATAAAATCAGCTCTTCGGGGAGAATCTAAAAATGCAATGAAATACAAGGTGTTCCATTTGAAATAACAAAGTTGTTGCTTCTTTTCGTTAGAAGCGGCAATGCCGCGGGGCTGAAAATATTTTAGAACCATGTCCCCCTCGAAAATGTAGTTGACGTGTTTCAGATTTTTTTCATAATCCGGTTTTGCCGACCTACAGAGCCGCTGTTTCGTTTTCAATGGCCCACTCTGTATAATAAAAATTAAAGCTCAGCAAGACAATACTTTAACACAAATACAAAATCTTTAGCGCCTTTAGGTATAAAACATAATACATACACACATACAGAAAAACTGCAAAGGTCATTTGAGGCAAAATAATGAAATATCGTCTAAAGAAAAGCTCCACCTACCTAAAAGACAATGCAGGCACAGAGGATATCTCCCCAACGAAAAGAATCCTTCAAAACAGAAACACTTTCAATTTAGCTTGCAATTATTTTGGCTGAAAAATCAGTTAGGCATAATACAAAGTCGATTACATTTCTCTTCGGAGTCTTGATAGTAAAAACCTCGATATCCAATGAAGACCGAAAAAAGTGGGTATTTAACGTCCGAAAAAATAAACTCGCAAAACACATCGCAAAAACCCATCCGCGCGGCGGAGACAGCTAATTTTTATCAGTCTACATTTCGCGAACGGAGATGGTACAAAAAGGTACGACCGATAAGTAAAACCCTATACTGAGTGAATAATTTTTACACGACACGACATATTCAAAAGATGGCAACGGAGGGCGTTTTGCTACAAGGATTTTCCGGATAAAACATATTATTCAACTCGGCATGAATAGCTTATGAAGAACAATAGGACAACCTCTATAACATACTCCCATGACAACATAATTGTCAGAAATTCATTGCGAATAATTATAAACTTATTAGTTTTATCGAAAGGTACAAAATAAAAAATATGAATTGTTTGAAGATAAACGTTATGGCACCGCAAAGTATCGCAGTAGATGAGCAATATAATCGCTGTAAGAAATATCCTCAAGTTAAATAGGAACTTGAAAACCGCAAAGGTATATCTCTAAGAACAACCGAGAAACCTGGCATTCTCAACCAAAATGGGATGCACTTTACAATATCAAGAAATAATTAACAGATATTCAATTGGCGTATCAGAATACGGGATTGAAAGACATTTTCACTGAAACTGAATTTCTCAGGTCACCCTCAGTATATTCATGTCTCCGGACATGTGGATGCGATCGGTCAGATACATTTATTAAAAGTACAGTTGGTGAAAGTGCAATTATTAAAATTTAACTTAACATTAGATTCGTTGCTGTCCTCTACTATAGAAGATCTATTACCACGCATAACATTTATGATCGTGTTGTGGTGTTCTTGATCTAGGTTTAGGCATAGTTCGCTTGCAGCAGTTGATCTAAGTAGTGTACCTACCTGTTTACCAGCTCAAGATGGCCGCCGCCGGAAGTGACGTCACAACCGTTCCTGTGGTGAAAGGTGTTGGCTTCACGGAAGTGACGTCACAAGATGGCCGCCGGAAGTGACAGATGACAAGTGACAGATGACAAGTGACAGATGACAAGTGACAGATGACAAGACAGATGACAAGTGACAGATGACAAGTGACATGGAACACAAGCAGTGGCAGATGGCATGGAACACGAAGAGTGACAGATGACAGACAAGTGACAGATGACAGACAAGTGACAGATGACAAGTGACAGATGACATGGAACACAAGGAATGACACGTGCAAGTACTCTGAACTTAGCCCCCTGGACCCTGGACTCTGGACTCTAGTGCTTATGGGCGTGGACATTCTTCTTCTCATTTTTGAAAGGTGATGGATGACGTCACAATCCAGTGACTGTGCTCACCAGATTTAGGTTGGTATTACTACAATTGGTAGCACTTTGTTTCAAGGTCACCCGATATGCATGTTGCAGATGGCCGATGAGTCATCCTTATCTCTACTTCGTAGAACAATGCCGCCTTTGTTTGCCATATGTTATCTAGCCTTCCTCTAGAACAATGCCGCCTTTGTTCTCTCTATGCCACAGCGTTTCTGGGAATTTCGTCGAGTCAGCTATTGGGAAATTGCGACGCAATATTATACGAGAACAATGCCGCCTTTGTTTGCAGGTGTCCGATTACGTAACAACCTCATCCGATTGCATCATCCTTATCTGTGTGAGAACAATGGGACCATTGTTCTGACGCAGGTGGCCGATGAGTCATCCAATAATGCTAGCTGGGAGACATCCTGAAAGAGTACCTCTATCTACTTCCTGTCACCACTGACTGTCAGCGTTTCCTGGAATTTCGTCGAGTCAGCTATTGGGAAATTTGCCTCATGAACAATATCTCCGTTGTTTGCAGGTGGTCGATGACGTCACAACCTCAAGCCCTATATAAGGCGGTCAGAACGTTCGTAGGCGTCATTCCATTCTGAACTTTGACACTGGTCGGTCGATCTGTTCCTTTCTGTTCGGTTGCTCCTGTGCGTTCGGTTGCTCCTGTCTGTTATATTATATTGTGAGTGGGCTGTGCCAGCTGAAAGGTGAGTTCTTTATTTATTACGTTTCAAGGCCATGTGGTCGACCCTATTTGTGACTAGTGACCATTCCACCCAATACTAGCAGTAGTAAGTTTCTCATCAGATGGATGTTTCAGCTATTAACGCTCAAGCTGCTGCCTTCAAGCCAACTGTAGCACTAACTAGCTTGCCCATCAACCAGCCCCACCCCATTGAAAATATCAGGGTGGTCCAGACACGGTTTGGGGAGGCTATTGTGGTGGAACTCGAGGCATCTAGCGTTTTTCTGCCAAGGAGGGTAGTTGGCATCTTCAAGCCTCAGCTTCCGGCGTTCACCCCAGGCAAATACAGCCTGATTCACAAGAGGAGTGACACCGGACCTGCATTCCTCTTTGAGATTACCAAAAATTAGTGGTGAGTAAAATATTATTTTCCGTTTGATATTTCTCGCAACATGAATGTCAATAGTATTGCTTCTACTAGTGATGCCGTTGTTGAGGAATGTAGAAGGAAAGTGGAAATTTTGAGAAAGAAGACGAACATATCTGCAGAAGAAAGACTGTTATGGAATAGGCAAATAGGGACGCATATAAGAGAATTAAATAGGGCAATCAGGGGGACCAATTCGACAGCAGGGGTTTTGAGAAAATTAGAAACAAATGTGGGGCATTTGAAACGTTTTCAAAGTTTGATTAGGAAGAAGAATCATATTGGGGCGGGACTTGGCAATCGTAAAAATAGAGTTACATGGAGACTTGTTCAATCTGTTTTTGAGAGTAGAGTAAGGACGGCTGTTATAATCAATTTAAGTCATAAGGAGTTGATGCAATTTTTGCAGGACGCATCGCATATTTTCAAAATTCAAATTAAAAAAATATTGAGGGAATTAACCATGCTCAAAGTCAACACCACCTTCTGTGGTGAGTTTATCAAGAAATCGGATGACGCGGAGATCATTGAATTCAAATATTTCAATACAAAGAATGCTACAATGGATGAGGGAACGGATTTAGATCATTGGTTTGCGGAAAATGTGATTGATGCCATAGTGAATAAACTTTCGGAATTCCAGGAGAAGGGTAGTGGCTGGGCCTTGCGGGAAATTGTTTCTTTAGAGGTTAATGTGAATAAATTAGAAATTGGCAATGGTTCATCATTCATTGCACTACCTGACCAAATTTCCAAGAAGCAAGCCTGCATCAATGTGAAGAACACTGATGAGGCATGCTTCTTCTGGAGTATCGTGAGCGCTTTACATCCTGCTAACCGTAATGTAGACAGGCCCAGCTCGTATCCTCATTACAGCCAAGTTCTGAATACCGCAGGCTTGGATGTACCCGTCACTCTCAACAATATTCCTAAATTTGAAAAACTCAATGATATCTCGGTGAACGTTTACGCCTTGGAACTGATTCATGTTAGAAAGACAGAGTATTTTGAAGTAGTACCCATAAAACTCACGAAACTTAAGCAGCCCAGACATGTCAATCTACTACTAATTCAAAGTGAATATTTCCCCAAGCCCAA